TGAGGGGTCTGATTATGTTTTCTTACTTTTTTTTTAAAGCAGCCCAGACCAACTCAATCGGGTTAAAAATGCAGTAATAGGGAGGTAGACGTAATACTTCATGGCCATTTTGCTGAAGCAGATTGTCAACAACATACTCTTTTTCAAAATTTTGTCTTTTAATAAGATCCAATAATATGGCTTTGGTTGATTTTTGTGGTATTTCCATTCCCTTATCCTTCATAAAATCAATAATGTCTTGTTTTTTTGTGCCTGTATTCGGAATTTTGTTTTTCTGTCGGGAATGGTATGGCGCATTGTCCATAATAATCACTGAATTTGGGGAAATGTTTGGTATTAACTGCTGCTCTATCCACTTTTCAAATAAGTCGGAGGTCATGTCCTCATGATAGTCGGCACATGATTCTTTGATATTTTTGGCAGATAACAGCAAGGCATTAGGTATAAATCCATTTTCACTGCCAGCATGGAGAATAATGATTCGTTTTCCACGGTTGCATGGTGCATTTAAAATGCACTTGTTGCTGTCGTCAACCCAGCCATACTGCACAACATCATGGGTATTATACCACGTTTCATCCAGGTAAATCAGATTTCTTTTCTGCTCTCTATAGATTTTAACTTTGTGCAAAAATTCTTGGCGCAATTCAACGATTCGAGACGACTCCATCATCACCATTCTTTTATCTAATTTTTTGTATTGAAAACCACACAGTTTTACAATACAGTGCAGTGAGTCTAAGCATTTGTAATTATAAAAATCTTCAGGATAATCTTTTAATTTATCCCGTATCATTTCCAACGTGGGCACCAAATTTTCTTTATAAAATCCGTATATTATACGACGAATATCTTCCTGAAAACCCACGTCTATTCTTTTTAATTTTTGCCCTATGCGCTTTCTGTGGAAGGAATGGTTGACTACATCTTCCCTTTTTATAACCCGATAAATGGTAGACCGACTGATTTTTGTCAGGATACAAATTCTGTTTAAAATTTGATTTTGCGAGGAATCTGGATTTTCGTTTTTCAGACAATCATACATATTTAGGATTACTCTTTGGGTCTGTTCCTCTAAATCTTTATGAAAGAATTCTGCCTGCACAGGTTCATCAACCATCTCCTCGTGGCTTGGAGCATTTTCCCAAGGTCTCCAAAGAGCCATATTTAGGACACACAAGAACAATCAACACAACAATTAAATCAACAAGTAAACTGAGTATTCAAAAGTCAAAAACACACAAACTAATAAAATCTTTGAAAAAACACGGACAGACTAAAGAAAACACGTTTATTCACCGCTACACGGCACTGGCTAAACTGTTTCAATTTTCAGTAGTCACCTGCACTTGTTCCGAGCTCTGAAATACACGCTTTCTCATTGGCTATGTCCACGCATAGGCGTGCTTTACTCCACGTGGACCGGTGAAACTGCCTTTGATCTCTTATATGGGGGATATTTGCTGCGAAATTTGGCGATTTTTGCAGCAACAGAGCGTGTTAAATATAGATATATAAAACGCACCCGGTATTTCACAGTGTTTCAAGTGACTTCAGATAAAGTATACGCAGTTTGTCAAGCCTTTTTTTATATGAGGAAATGGTGGTCCTTTTTGTTTTTGTTCAAATATATTAATAAATTAGTAAATTAGTATAAATGAAATCTAAGGATAAGTCAAAGCAAATTAAGGCCCTAGCTCAATAAAGCGGAGAGTAGGTGGGGTGTTACTAGTGATTCAAGACGGATTAAGCCACAAATCTCCGAGTTTTTAGTCGGAACTTGTTCTGCTTGACCACCAGACAAAGAAAAACAATAATAATAATAATAATAATAACGTCTTTATTGGATCACCCGGAGGGACATAAACAGCGAAGTTTAACCAAGGATACTCTTACACTTAACTTTTTATGTCGGTTACATCTGATGTTCAAAACATGGAAAAAAATATATATAAGAACAATGAAAAAAAAGAACACATATATACCTAAGTATAAAATACAAATAGACACAATCTATATCTGTAGCAAAAATGCGTATTTAATCAATAGCGAGCAACATGCTTTTAGTATGTTTACGAAAACTTTCCAAAGACATCAATTTAATACTGTTGTCCAACTGATTATAAAATAGTGCTGCATTATATGTAAATCCTCGTTGGAATAATGCAGAAGTGTGTGGGGTGATTCTGAAACTATAACGATTCCTAACAGCCCTGTCATGCACTTCGTAATTAAATCTTAACTTAGCTCTTAGATATTCAGGCTTTGATGACAATATTATTTTATGAACTAAAACTAAGAATTTATGTTTAACCAAACTTCCTAACCTAAGCCAGTTCAATTCCCTATATTTATCACTTACGTGATCGTATTTACGCAACCCATAAATAAAGCGAACACAGTTATTTTGGATGATTTGAAGACGATTTTTGGTCAATTGATCCAAACGTGGATAATAAACGACATCATAGTAACTGAGCATTGACATCACCAAAGATTCGCACAGTTTTTTTCTCAGCTTAAAGTTAAGCAAGTAGCGATTGGAATAAAGAGCCCTAGAACACAGGTAAGTTTTTTTCATCAAATTAGCTATTTGGCTGCGGAATCTTAATTTTGTGTCAATTTCCACTCCTAGTACCTTAGCTGTTTGAGTATGCTGTAATGTTATGCCATCAATAGTCAGATGGAAAGAATCTTCGACAGTTTTCCTCTTCTGATCAGAACAAAACAATAACACTTGTGTCTTATCTGGATTAATAGTAAGATTATATTCCATAGAAAACTGATGTACCTTATCTAAATCAAGCTGCAAAATGTCTGATGAATTTTGCGTATCTGAGGCGTCGAAATGGAATATTATTTGAGTATCGTCAGCAAATGTTTGTATCCCTGAATTGTTAACTGCTTTATGCAGGTCACACGTGTAAATCAAAAAGAGCACAGGTCCCAAAATTGAGCCTTGCGGAACTCTTGACAGAATAGTCGTAATATTGGATTGATCGTTATTGATTGCGACACATTGCGTGCGACCGGACAAATAGCTACGGAAAAAACTGACAGCAGCATCATCGAAGCCTATATGTATATACCTCAGCTTGGCGCACAAAAGTTTATGATTTATTCGATCTAATGCTTTGGAATAGTCAATTGATACCACTGCTGTTGCTAACTTTTTGTCAACTGCCCTAATAACATTATCACAAAGATCTAACAGTGCCGAGGTGGTACTATGGTGCTTCCTGAAGCCCGATTGACATGACGATATTATTTTTAGTTCCTCTATGTAATGGACAACTTGTTGCTGTATAATTTTTTCCAAAATTTTCGATCTAATAGTAATAATGAAACCTAACAAACTGTATACAGAGAGCCAAATAAAACAAGATATCTAAGAAAATAATCACAATATATTGCCAAAACAAACAGCACATATGCTCCACCACTGGAATGCAAGTTAAAAGAAAAGATGTTGTTAAAAACTACCTGACAATAAAATTAATAGACCGTAATAACTAACCCTACAAAACGTTTACCATGGTATACATACGAAGGCTTTACAAATATAGGTCTTACAAATATTTCAACGCCTAAACCTAAACTTATATGGACAATGGTCTTCTTCCTGTTACAGCTCTAGGCGTAGCTGTGATGTTCTCAGCTCTCTAAAACTCAGGTCAAAAATCAGTGGCCAGTAGTGAGCAGTGACGTAAGGAACGTCACAAGATAGGGGCTGCTTGCCTCGTTCTAAAAATGTATGGTATATAAAAACAACCCTAGAGAGAGAAAGAGTTTAAAGTTTAAAAACCTACTATCTACTCTATGTCTGAGATAGAACTACTAATTTAAAAGACTCAAAAATGAAGAAAAATTCATATACATTCTCTTTTACAAGAAAACTACTTTGCCTTTCTGCAAAGGCAAGAAAAGATAAAAATTTACCAAAGTTATCCCTTGTTCTAAAATAAGTTATGGCAGCTCAAAATTCAAAATTATGATAAATGTAATGTAATAAACCCAAAAGATGGTGACATGTAGACACTGCCCATTATTTAAAAACGTAAAACGCCAAAAAAAATCAAGAACACACTAAGAATTTCAGTCAGCAACAATCAATATAAATATCAATATCTATAAAATACCCAATTAAAATGATACTTTACCCGTTCACATCAGGGTTCTTATAAAGGGGAAGAGATGGCTTCCATCAAAATCGTCTGTGAAACAGCTACAAGGCAGCTACAAAACAAAGCTGGAGGTGTGTGAATGGTGGTTCTCCACAATGGCTTCCCACTAAAAGGAATCAGAGATTGAACAAACTTCTTCAGGACAAGCATTAATGGACATAGTCCGATGGTACTTACCGCTGGAGGTTAAAATCCCATTCAAAGATGGACGGCGTAGACCCAAACCAACACAACTGAACGTAAGGTACAAAATAAAAGGGTACTACTCCATAAACTGGTGCTCGGGGCGTTAATATCCCAAAATCTGGAAGTTAACGAAAGAAAACGCCCACACACAACCAAAATCACAGCGGAAAGAAAATGGCGCTGGACCGTCTGCGTACGCAACCCCCTAAAAGAAGGTTGAATAAGTGGCCCTGAACAAGGCACGTTCGACAGAACATCAAAAGGAACAGATAAAAGCCGGTAAAGAGGGTATCTTGTTAGTAAGGCAAATTTTAACAGTACATATAAACCTCATAAGATGTCGCGCTGGTGGCTGATGCGCAAACTGTACTCAGAAAAAATCTGTCCACGAGGGACCAACAATATTTTATGAGGATATTTCTAAGGTAATACTATAATATTAGTGTCCAAAAGATTTCAAAACTGTATTGAGTCGCTGAGAATAACAGATATACTAAGTGACTTATAAATCCGAACACCCAGTTTAAATGGTTTTATTTTAATAAAATTTTGTATAAGTACTTAATGAAGCATAGTAAGTAAATGATAAAAATTTCAAAATGATTGCACTGCTTTAAAGCCCTTTGTCCTTTAATAATGTGTGGATGCACCCTGATGTGCTACGCATTCTCCAACGCGCCTAGGCATGCTTCTGATCAGGTGGTCCATGTCCTCCTGTGGTATCTCATTCCAGGCAACCACCAACTCCTCTCGAGGTGCTTCTAGAGTCTAAGGAGGACGTTGCAAATTGAGCAATCTCCTACCCATCATATCCCACACGTGCTCAATTGGGGATAAGTCGGGAGATCTTTGTGGCCATGGTAACAATGTGACATCATTATGTTGAAAGAAGTCTATTGTGACTCAAGCAACATGTGGTCGGGCATTACCTTGTTGGAAAGTTGGATCTGCCAGGGTGTCAAGATAGGGTAAAAGATGGGGTTCTAGAACTTCGTGGATATAACGCTGCGCGTTCATGTTACCTCTGATGAAGATTAAAGGTGACCTGGAACCATAAGCTATAGCACCCCAAACCATAAGTCCAACAGTGTAAATAACATGTCTTTCAACAAAAAACTGTGGATTCCTCCTTTCACCACGTCGCCTTCTAACCCTGGCACGACCATCGACCAATCGAGACAATACTGTTCCATTCCTGATCTCAGACTGACCGTTGTCTGCACCCCTCAAAGCGATTACGTCGTTGTTCTCGAGTTAAAGGGAGGACCCAGTGTGGCCGGTATGAAAACAAGCCAAAACTTCTCATTCGTCGGTAAACACTTCGCATGCCAATAGGTCTTCCGTGTTCTGCAAACCATTCATTTGTAATGGACCTGGTAGTGGAGAAACGGTCCCTTAAGGCCAATAATCTTAGGCGGCGATCTTCACGGTCTGTTGTTCTACGGCGGCGTCCGGTGCCCCTTGCTCTTTGCGTACGGCCTTCTCGAAGCCATGCCTGACAACACCTAACCACAGTGTCTACACTTCTTTGCACTCTAACTGCAATTGCCCGAAAAGAAAGTCCAGCTTCCCGAAGTCCCACTATCCGGCCCCTATCAAAGTCACTAAGTTAACGAAATCGTATAGGTCTCCGTACTCTAGGCATCGTAACCGATCGTAAAGGATGTCAAGAACCAAAATCCGCCAACGCTGATTCTTTACTGCGGCTGAAATATTCATTTTTAGAGCGTTAGTGAATTAAAAAAAAAGCAGTATAAAAACCGGAATGTCCAAGTGATAAGGCTGAACATTTTTTCACTTGTTATTTACAGTAAGATAAATACATTCACCAACTTTTATTAAAATAAAACCATTTAAACTGGGTGTTCGGATTTATATGTCACTTAGTATATAATACGAGAGAAATTCTACAATCAATAAACTATGGAATTTGACAAAATAAAATCATTAAAAAGGGTTTGTATCTAGGAATATGTACTCTATTATTAATAAAGAGAAATCCAAATTACTCATAAGTGATCAAATCTGTACGTGGCCCAACAATCAAAAAAACAGAAAGTTTATATAGTTCCCACCGAAACTGTATTCTTAGAATGGATCCACTGATGGGATTTTTCAAATATCCTGTCGGCAACATAATCTATAGTTTTACATGCTGTTGAATGGTGAACGCTGAAATCTTCAGCAATACTTGTTTGAGATCCAGTATCACTAACATACCGCAGAGATACAGGGTGTAAACGTTATGGTCGTCATTATTGAAGTGGGTAATAGGGAGGTGAAAACAAGTCAAAAAGTTCATATGACCCATGGTCCAAAAGTCAATAGATTTTTGTCTAAATGGTTTTATAGTTTACAACTTTAAGTACTTGTTACTAATTTTTATAATCTAATCTAAAACGTTTTTAAATTGGGTCATTAACAAATGATTGGCATTAATTTTTTCTAAGTTAAGCCAAAATTTGTAGTCAGTAAGTAAGTTTCATTATGTTAAATATTTAAAACACACATGACAACAGCGCGTCGATCTTTTATCACTCTTATCGAACCGGCAATCGATCGCAAACGGTAACAGTGGTTAGTTATTGTTCGCGTACGTCGTCGTGTTTATTTACAATGTTCTCGAATCAACAGGTCACCGACATGTTGTTAATTTACGGTGAAGCTCGTCAGAATTCAAATCTTGCAGCTAAAATTTATCGTGGCAGATTTCGCCAACGCGTACGCCCAGACAGAAGGACGTTTGTGCAAGTGTACCAAAGACTTCGAGATACAAGAAGTGTTCAGCACACTAATATTCGCAATCGTGAAAGACAGGTGGAACAAAATTTAAATATCGTGGAAATCACTGCAGATATCAGCACTCGGGAAGTAGGCCGCCGCGTAGAACTATCGGATACCATAATCTATAATAATAATAATAATATATATATTTAATAATATATATATTTATTTCCAACAGGTATACACCCAATCACAGGAAATCAAAACAAAATGGTACCATATATACACATATATACATACACATTTATACACACATACACATATACACATATATACACATATATAGACAATGAATCAGAAAATAATAACAAAAAAAGAAAATAGAAAAACATTAGTGATCTGAATGAACACATAATACATAGGTGAATAATTAAACACTTCACAAAAAAAGAGAAGAAAAAAAAAACATAAAAGTGCTCAAATTGAAGTATAACAATAACTGACACCATCAACAAAACGATTTTATCTCAATTGCTCCCTGTAAATGTTTAATATTTTATTAAGACTATCATGACATACATCAGCTCTGTTACAGATTGAATTGAATAAGGTACACATTACCATTACTGGGGATCTGCATAAAATATTCGTCCGTGGTGTATCACAGTAAAATATGTTATTATGCCGACCAACTAATCTGGGAGCATGAAAATTAATCTTACTCTATAGAATCCTACGGGAAAATTTGCTTTATCTCTACCATGTACAACGAGTGCAGATCTTGTTACCAGAAGACTATCCTCGCAGACATTCTGTCAGTGGTTTTTGCACAAAAACATTGAAAATTCGGATTTTTTTTAAATACATACTAGTGACGGACGAATATACTTTTACGCGAGACGGGATATTAAATTTCCATAATACTCACACGTGGGCCCAAGAAAATCCTCATACTTCGTGAAGGTCATTTCCAACAACGTTTTAAAATAAATATTTGGGCGGGTATTCTTGACGATCAGGTAATTGCCCTTTCGAGTTACCCCCAAAGTTGTCACGAGAAGGATACCTTAGCTTTCTAGCCAATAACCTATCAGAACTTTTGGAACAGACCTTAGACAACATGCCACAACAACGGAGACAGAATTTGTGGTTTCTTCATGATGGGGCACCACCACACATTTTTAGAGGCGTCATTCAGTATTTGAATGAACATTATCCAAATCGCTGGATCGGTTGAAATGCTCCTGATCCTCGAAAATGGCCAGCAAGATCTCCTGACCTCAATCCGATGGATTTCTGGTATTGGGGAGAACTATCTATCACCCATTTAAATAATGACTATCATAACGTTTACACCCTTTACCGTGAGGTAGTACCTCCTCTGGTTACGTCCGTCTGCAGTAATAAATGTTCTGATAAATAGTCTACAATTTCGCTTTCAAAACGCAATAAAGCCTTAGATTAGCAAGGACTTATGCTTTTTCTTTCTCTGTAGTTTTTAGTATTACGAACATTTATTAGATTTGCCATTATTAAAATTATGCTTCTCTGATAAAAGTATGCGTTGGAGAAACCTTAACAGACATTAAGTTAATTCTTACTGATTTTAAAGTATTTTTTTTATCCAAGAAAGTACTGGAAAAACCTAAGTGAATTCTAATGTTTTAAGTGATTACTTGAAACTGAAAGAGCACTATGAGTAGGCTCCTTTTTATGAAGACTTTTTATTCAATGCTTATCAAGTAAATACTCAAATAACAGGAAGTATAAGTGATTTTTTTTTCCATAGACTGACTGACACATAGCACAACATCATTAGGTATCTGTAACCAATTAAAGCGAAATGTATGAAAATAAATAAATATTCATTAAAATGCAACAGTAACAACAAAATATAGATCCCCCGTTTATTTTACATCAATACTAAATTGAGCCACGTCGTCACTGAAATAACAGTAATAATTAATTAAACTTGTCGCAGAATATAAATGGTTAGTTTTAAAACTCAAATAACAAACATTGCAATGATAGAGTTATCCCCAGAAGTGCGAATCGATATTGAAGAAGCTTAAAACTCAGCGAATTTGCGCATCCCTTCATTCCAATTAAATTTTAATAAGCCGCCGTTCATTAATTTCGAAATTTCTAACAAAGCGAAATCGTCACAAACGCGCCCACATTCGAATGTAGGATGCGAAACAAGTTTCAAACTCCCCCGGTTTTATTTGGAATTCGAATCATGCATATTAAAATACGAATTTCTCTTTTTGTAATCACCCTTTGGACAATGTTGTACGATTTTGTCTCTTCCAGTTTTCATTATTTGATGAACTAAAGACGATATGAAATTTTATACAGAATCTGTATGCCTACTTTCAACAATTTTTGTAATCATTTCGTTGGTTTTAATGTTATGTTTATGTTGTCAGTTGTTGTTGTTCATTACCCTTAATGAGTTTAATTTTTCCAATTAAATGAATAATTTATTTTTGCAAGGTAGACAAAAGAACGGTTTTTATTTTTTTTACTCAAAAATGGCGCATCGAAGGAAAACAATTAAAGATAGATCATTTGTTTTAAATTGAATGGGGAATTTAAAAATAAATGAATTTTTATTTGGTAAAAAACCATTGGCGTACCATTTTTTTCTTAAAAAATATCGGAGTCAATACCCGTTCGCACGATACCGTTAAAGCTAAACATTATTTTTGAGTAAAAACACATGTTAATTTATACATTTATTAATTGAATTTAAATTAAAACTACTCAAAATAAAATTTTGTATCTGTTATGTAAAATATACGTAACATCAAATAAACAGGTGTCTGACCAATAAGTGCCCGCATTGAAAAAAAAATAGGAGGGATAAAATTAAAAAAGTGAAAAACAAAAAAAAAGTTTTTTACTTAAAATAGTACAATAAGCGAGTTCGTTTATTAATTATAACATAAACGTATGTTCTTCAATAATTTCACTGTTAGTTTGATTAAATTCCGCTTCTTATACGTTTAAGTTATCTAAAAATAGGCAAAAAATTTATGAATTTTAGTGTGTACCTATCCTTGAATTTTCAGAATAATTAAAAAAAAAATTAAAATATTTTCTATATATCTTTAAAAAAATCAATGCGGGCACTTATTCCCAATGCGGGCATTTATTGGTCAGACACCAATAAACATAAAATAAACTATAAATAAAATAACATAAGCAATAAGTCAATATTTTTAGTGAGAAGGATGAACCTGATGCTTTAATAATAAATTATCAACATTTGGCGTCAATTTTGTAAGGGTTAATCTTAAATGTCCTCGGCTAATGATGTCTAGTCTGTTTCTTTTTTTCGTTAGGAGTTTGGTAACAGTGCTGAACCCCCTTTTCACTAGGTATGACGATGGAAAGAAAATTAAAAATTTCCTCGCTATATTTCATAATACGGGATAAGTAACGGGGATGTTGTTTTGCAGCCAGAATTGCTGATATCCGTTTTTAAACTGAACCTTAAGATCTTTACTTAGTTCAGTCAGTTTCTTTTGTATTACGACATTCGTTTCTTCTATGTCACCATATGGATTAATTATCCACGGTGGTATTACCATAGTCAAAATATCCTAAAACCTAGATTCAAAATCTGAATAGAGGGCATTTAAATGTTGAATGTAAGTTGAAACGTCGTCTTCCTGGCAGCTTGTCGGTGACAAATTGGGGAACTGAGAAAATTCGCCCCGTGCAATATTATGCTTCATTAGTTTAACTCTGGCAAGAAACGCTGATAAGATGGACTGTGTTTTAATCAAATTTAAACTGTCGCCTTGTAATTGCAAATTAACCATATTAAATTTTGTAAACAAATCTGTTAAATAGGCGATGTCTGTTTTCCTCTTCATTAAATTTTCTTTTAAAATTGTATCTTTAGTATCCAGAAATTCTAAAATAGTCTTAAAAAGTGCAAAAAATCTTGTCAAACATAAGCCTTTCGACAGCCAGCGTACTTCAGTGTGAAGAAGTAATTGATGAAAGTGTTCGTCATTTTCTCCACACAACTGCGCAAATAACCACGTATTCAACGCGTTGCTTCGGATTCGGTTTACTGCATCAATCACTAAATGAAGTGATTCTTGCAATCTAACACTCAAATTTTTAGCAACTAAATGTTGTCGATGGATGACGCAATGTATTGCTAACACCCCTGACACATTTTGTCTTAAATAGCTTATAAATCCACGATAACGTCCAACCATGGCAGGTGCTCCATCTGTAGCTACTGATATTATATTTGATAAAGGAATTGCTTTTTCAATGAAGTAATCCTTCAAAACATGAAATATTGATTCACCTTTAGTGTCGGTTATCAAAGTTCTTGCGAAGAGCAGTTCTTCGTAGATTTCTTGATTCATAATAAAAAGAACATATGCCAATAATAATGCTGCATTATCAGGTAAAGTTGACTCGTCCAGTTGTATAGAGAAATGGGTCGTTTGCAAATAATATTACATAAGAAGCTTTCAATATCAGAACTCATTTCATCAATACGTCTTTCAACAGTATTGTTGCTTAAGGGAATTCTTTTAATGATATCAGATGCAGGTTTGTGTAAAACAGTTTTTAAAACCTCTTCAACGGCTGGCAAAATTAACTTCTCTCCGATAGTATGTGGTTTTCCGGATTTTGCTATAAGTAACGAGATATTGTAAGACGCCCGCAAACCATCATCATGTCTTTGTGACGTCGAAGCGAACATTCTGTCCAGTGTAGGTCTCTTCTGAAATTTATATTTAAGTGTTTGAAAGTATTTCAAATCTTTCTCTGTTTTATCAGGGTGGCATCTTCTCAGATGGTCTTGCAGTTTAGATGGTTTCATAGCGTCATTGCCCAAAACTTTGTTGCATAAAAGGCACATAGGCAATGATGGAATGAAGCCAAATTTCAAATAGTCAACACTGTACTGTCTACAGTTCTTTTTAGATTCGGACATGGCATCAGTCATCTGTGGGCAAAATCAAATTATTTAAATAATAAGACAGAAAATCCAGCAGCTGTATATTAAAAATATTTTCTGGTTTTTCCGAAAACATTCCATAATTCGAACCTCTTCTTGCAACAATTAGCTCGAATTACGGAGAGTGCACTGTAATTATATCGCCGACTGCTAAAACTTTCAAAAATAAACTATTGAGGGGTACTCGTGTAATTTTGCATGATTGAATATTCAACTGCTAATAGCTAAAGTCATGATTGGAGTAATTTATCTATCTTTGCTAACTACGAGTACAAAACTAAAATTTAATAAACAATAATGTACTTACTTTTCTCCAGCACTCTCAAACAAAATAACACTGACTCACTATAATTTGTGTGATATACTATCTGTTTATATTTTTTAAAATATTTTCTTAGCACTTTCCTTTTCAAGATTCAGGAAACGAATAAACGTATTTGTCCCACATTCGTATTTATAGAGTGACGAATTGAACAAGTCAGTGCAAGGTAGCGAAGCTCTGAGACTGCGACTCTCAGGTTTTTACAACTTCAAAATGTATTGCGACCACAAAGCGAATACCAACATCCTACAACTTACACAATTTTATAAACGTATATAATAAATTTTTTACTTCATATGTACTTTTATAAATAATGTATATGTTTTGATATTATAAGATAGTATGATGTAAGTAAATAGGTACTATCAGTGTATGTGTTGAGATCCACTATCGTGGACCCCCATGTTCATTTCATGGACCCCCAAATTTTTTTTCGCTGACGTAGACCCCTTGCAGGTTGTCATAGACCCCTAGGGGTCGATATAGACCACTTTGGGAATCAATGATCTACACTATCTTTAATTCGGTATGAAATTTAGCGTACCAAATTTAGCACAAAGTTGCTTATTATCACAGATGCCCTTGAAGGAAGCAGTACGTAACAGCAGTAGTAGAGAAGTACTGCAAAAACCACACAGCTAACAGTAAAACTGATATCATTGACCTTTGCGACTCATTCAATTAACCCAGCATAAAGGGGAAACGCTCCAGGAAATGCCGGTACTTCGACAGGATTAATTGTCCCGCTTTGGCCCCTTTTTCGTCCTAATTTACCTTGAATTAGACGCTTTCTTGCGCCCTAATCTAGCCCAAAGCAAAAGCCGGATGTATTTTCCTTCTTTTTTTTTTAACCTCGGCAGCGTTTGCCGGCTGTCGGCGGTGGGTGGAGTTCTGCGAATTTAATTCTACCTCGGAAGATCGTTTGTTAATTAGGAACTAAAGTAAGGAACAAAGGAACTAGTAAAGCATGAACCAGATGCTCTTTAGATAGACAATTGTGGATTTGTTCGTCAGGTGGGTGGACCATGAAGCCCACGCTAACCAGTGTTATCAGGTCTTCCGATTTTTTTTAGACGTACAGTACTGAACTACCGATATTTTTTTGAAATAATTTATTTAAACACAATATTGCAAAATGTATAACCAGTTTTAACAATAATTCCCCGATCAGTGCTTGTGAACACTGGCCCCGAGAATAACAAGACACTAATCAATAACTATGAACTATAGGTACACTGCAATGTTGCTCATCGTTTCAACAAATAAATTCATTAACATTTTTAAAATCTTTCAATTCTCTGAAAAAATTTCAATAGTTACGAGGGGTGTCTTTTAAGTTTTGCATATGGAAATAAAACAACACGGTAGGTAGTTGTATCTTGCGATATAATAACAATAGTAATAATAATAACGTCTTTATTGGATAACCCGGAGGGACATAAACAGCGAAGTTTAGCCAAGGCTACTCTTACACTTAACTGTTTATAGTCAACGCCAAACAAAGTGGCGTGCACGTCATCAAGGTGGGTGTGTTGAAAAATTTACATTGTTGCCAAACTTTTTGTAAAATAATAAAATTTATTATTTACATATCTAGGTTTATAAGCAATATTAACCTCAAATGAGAACAAAAATAATAGTATAATAAAATTATAGATCTGTACTTGCATAATCATTAAGTATGACAATTATTGATCAGATGACACTATGAAACTACCATATTTAATTGATAGCTTAAAGGTACTGAATAAAAATCCAAATGGGGTCCTCCAAATTTTATGCATGGTATTTATTTTACAGAATTCATACAAAAAAATGCATTCTAAAATTAGGTAAGCTACTGGTGTAAGCTTTTTCTGTACAATAAAGTTAGTCGGAGTTTCTTTCTTCAGCGCTGTCTGAATCTGAATCTTCATCACTCTCAAAGTCGATTATTAAAGGTTCGATGTCTGGTCGATCAAAAATTCGTTCTCTTTCATACCATTTAAAAATTTCTTGCTCAGTATGTCGAACACTATTTTTCCACATGTCTGGGGTAACCGTTTGTAGAGCCTCGTTCCACATATCCAAACAGTCTTTTTCACTGTTACCATCTCTACCAATATGTCTGTTATAGTAACCTTTTGCTATGCCCCAAATTAACTCAATAGGGTTAAATATACAATGGTAAGGAGGCAGACGAAGAACTTTGTGCCCATGTTGTTCCGCCAATTCATCAATCACGTATATTTTAGGTGGTTTGTTTCTAAAAAAGCAGTTATTTTAAGAATAGGAATAAACAAAAGAAATATAAACTGTCGACCAAAATATATATAATTAAGAAGCATTATGTACCGAGCAACAATACTCAATAGCTCTGTTTTAAACATTGTGTTTAAAAATGGTATGTTTTGATTTGTCAACCGGTCTTGGATATTTTTTTTGTCCATGCATTGTTGGGCACTTTGTTCAATATCATGCTGTGATAAGGGGCGTTATCCAGTATAATCATAGATGGACTCTCCAATTTTTCTAATAACTGATGTTGAAACCATTTCAAAAAATTGTCCTGGTTCATCTCTCCATGGTAATCGCTCAATTTTGTTTTCGAAGAAAATATCGCTTCACTACCCTCAATAAACCCATTTTCATTTCCAGCATGTAATATAATGTATCTAAAATATATTAGTTTTAAATTTTATAGTGCAAATTGTGTAAAAGTACATACCTTTTACCATCTGTTTTAATAGCTTTCACGCTTTTTTGGTTTCCATTTTGCCAAGAGCGACCTATGGTCCCATTTTGAAATATCCAAGTTTCATCGAGGAAGACAAACTGGTATAAGGCCTCAACCTTGGCTTGATTGTATTGCCTTAGAAATTCCACCCTTTTCAAAGCTATACTTGGTAGTTCCATGAGCCCTCGTCGCGGATTGTCCTTAAGCCACTTAAATCCAAGATCTCTAAGCAACCGCCTTAAAGACGTGGCACTACCATCAAATAATGCCATATCTCTTAATCGAGACCATAAAGTTTGTATCGTAACTTGTTCTTCTGAAACCATGTGTAATATGACATTATAATTTAGTTAACAAATTAATGCAAATTTCTGATAAGTTATTATAATAAGATCTTACTTTTGTGATACATATTATAGATCACTTCTCGAATGGCACTTGTATCCAATGTCGCTGTGTTGGTTACACGTTTAATATAACTCCGCTTTTTCTTGGGCGATTCTAAATTTGCATCACTTTTCACACCCTCGGAAATACGACTAACTGTCCTTAAACTAATTTTTAAAGCAGCAGCAACACGCTACAAAAAATGAAATAAAATTTCACTATTATTAATATACATTACATATAATTATTAGTAACCTACCTCTTGAACAGCATTTAAAGGCAACAAAGGCCCGTTGTTGTCCCTTTCTTGCTCAAAGTAGTGCATTAACGAGGCCACGAGTTCCTTACACCGACTATTTAACTGTTTGGGCATCTTTATATACCAAAATTGCCTTTATCTACTCGTAAAATGAATAATTTTGTTTTGAAACAAACAGTTGTTGATTTACAGTATGCGGGGCCAAAGGATTTATAAAGATTTGAAATGCCACAAACTGATTCAGTGTCAAAATTAATACAAATGTCAGTTCCCAGTTTAAATAAGTTTCAAGGTGACAATGTGTCAACGCTGCGAAATCGGTTTAGTGCGTTTACATGTCGATAAGTGATTGGAGCGTTTGCAAAACATTTTATTTCGCATAATGCGTCTGAATTTATCAGAAAGCAAATTATGTGATATTTTAATAACAATGTTTATATGACTATTAACCATAATAAGAGAGTAATGACCATTTTACAATTTATATATCACATTAATATGAAACTGCAATAGAGCAATTGTTTGTGATAGAAACCTAGGCATTAGGTCGGGGAATTTTTATCGTGATGACGTGCACGCCACTTTGTTTGGCGTTGACTATATGTCGGTTACATCTGATGTTCAAAACATGAAAAAAAAAATATAAGAACAATGAAAAAAAGAACACATATATACCTAAGTATAAAATACAAATAGACACAATCTATATCTGTAGCAGAAATGCTTATTTAATCAATAGCGAGCAACATGGTTTTAGTATGTTTACGAAAACTTTCCAAAGACATCAATTTAATACTGTTGTCCAACTGATTATAAAATAGTGCTGCATTATATGTAAATCCTCGTTGGAATAATGCAGAAGTGTGTGGGGTGGTTCTGATACTATAACGATTCCTAACAGCCCTGTCATGCACTTCGTAATTAAATCTTAACTTAGCTCTTAGATATTCAGGCTTTGATGACAATATTATTTTATGAACTAAAACTAAGAATTTATGTTTAACCAAACTTCCTAACCTAAGCCAGTTCAATTCCCTATATTTATCACTTACGTGATCGTATTTACG